CTCCCTTTCATAGTTGTTACGAAAATCCTCCAAAAACTTTTCCTTCCTTCCTTTTATTCTTCCTGCCACCCTCATCCCTCCTTGGGCTTATTCCTCTTCTGGGTTGAGTACATCAAATGACATATTCCTAAGGTACCTGCCCTCTTGCTGTTCGTGATGTCCAGTGATTTCTGTGGTTCTTGTTTGGGTCAAGAAGAGAGCTCAAGCCTGCTCCTCCAACCTAGGAAGAAGGTAGCATGGATCCATTTTACAGATGGGGCCCCTGGAGCAGAGAAGTGGCCAGTCATTACTTTGGAGATGAAAGAGGGGCCCTAGCCGCTCCGAGGTGGATGCAGCCCCAAACAAAGGTGTGGGTTTCAAGTAGGCACTCCCAAAAAGATTGGGGTAGGGAGGCAAAAGGGAGGTACTGAAAGACATGGACAAGGAGCTGAGACTGGCCAGTTCTTCCCCAAACTGTTCCTTTCCCCCTGGACTACACTACATTTCCCATCTTCCCTGGCTCTTAGCGATGTGATCGTGTCATTGAGTTCTGGCCAATGGCATGTGGGCGGAAGGGAAAGTCACAACTCCTTGGCATGTTAAAACTTCCCACAAGATCACCTACCGTCTCTTCTTGTCCCACTGCATGTCCAATCCAGGGGCAACCTTAGAAGCCCTTGCTGCACATGGCAGAGACTCTGAATAGGTCTTTAACTTCCCGAATGGCTGGGAGGGGCAGATCACCCCTTTCAGTTGACTGGGCTTTACATGAGTGAGAAATAAACTTCTATTTATTAAGCCAGTCTACGTTTGGGGGACATTGGTTCTGTCATTAGCACCTCATTAGCTTACCTTCAGTAACATCAGCCAAGGATAGAATGGGGATCCTGGGCTGGAGAGGGGCTCTGAGCGGCACATGGTTAGGGAACTAGCACATCCACTTCTGGGCCAGTTTTTGTGGATCTAACTGCAAATTATGGAGGCAGAAAGTTTTGCTGAATGAATGCATGACCACGTGAGCCCCACATTGGAGGCTGTATTATGCTACCACATGTAGATTGCCGTGGAAGTCCACTGGGACGGCTGCAAAGCTTGTGCTGAGTCAGAGTTCCCTCAGGGCTAAGAATAAACAGGAGACACAAGAATTCTGGCCCATAGGGCCAATGCTGGGCGGTGTGGGCTCCGGGCTGGAGGAGACATCAGCCTGGCGCTTCATAGTGGGTCACTTGATGGGGCGGGGCCTGTACTCCCTTGGCCCCAGACCTGGTGGCTCAGCACAGCCCACACATCAGTTTCCCCAGCGGCCCATCTCAGGCAGGGGGAAGGAGACTTAAAAGGCAAGGCTGCAAGTTCAGGCTAGCCAGGAATGGTTCCTGCAGCCACGAGGGCAGGGATGTGGGGACACTGGGCCTGCGGCTTCCTCTGCTGGGACCAGGGTGGGAAAGGCCTTCGTGAGGCCCTGGAGTTCGGTGCCTCTTGGTTGTAGGAAGAGCAGGTGGTTCTGGTAAGAAAACTCAAGGTCTCAGTCCCAAAAGGCAGGGGAAGGTGTAATTGGATGGGAAGACCTCTGGGCTGCAACAGCCTGGCGCTTCATAGTGGGTCACTTGATGGGGCGGGGCCTGTACTCCCTTGGCCCCAGACCTGGTGGCTCAGCACAGCCCACACATCAGTTTCCCCAGCGGCCCATCTCAGGCAGGGGGAAGGAGACTTAAAAGGCAAGGCTGCAAGTTCAGGCTAGCCAGGAATGGTTCCTGAAGCCACGAGGGCAGGGATGTGGGGACACTGGGCCTGCGGCTTCCTCTGCTGGGACCAGGGTGGGAAAGGCCTTCGTGAGGCCCTGGAGTTCGGTGCCTCTTGGTTGTAGGAAGAGCAGGTGGTTCTGGTAAGAAAACTCAAGGTCTCAGTCCCAAAAGGCAGGGGAAGGTGTAATTGGATGGGAAGACCTCTGGGCTGCAAGTCAGGTGGAACTAGGGGAGGACACTGATATCCTCTCCTTCTGCCTCCCAATATATGAAGGCTGACATCGGTCAGTGCCCACCTGCACAGGTGACCCTGCACAGGTGTCCACTGTGACTGGCTGGGGCCAGTGTACTTGCACTAGGTCAGTGTCGCCCTGATCAGAGGCCACTCTGGTCCCTCTCTTTGTCCCTTATCTCAATTCTTCTGGTGGCCAGGAGAGTGGGGGCCAGTGGCCCTACCTGGGACTGGGGGCCTTGGCTCACTTGGCCTCTGGCTGGAGCCACATTCTCTTGTCCAGCTTTACCAGTCATAGGCTCACATTTTGTACGTGGGTACCTCTCTCTATTTCTTCATCATTTTAGATGAATCAGGAGGGACAGGAGGTCTGGTTAGTGGACTTCTTACAAACCCCACCAGGCAGCTCCAGGCCTCTGAGGCTGTGGTTCTGCCCAGCTGGTACCCCGCTGCAGGCTCTGAAGACGGGCCTGGCTTGCTTAGCTGCCCAGATGCCCACACCACATCCCGGGGTGGCCTGTGCATCGTCCCACCCATCCGGGACATGGCACCTCGATGATACCACCAGAGGTCTAACACCAGCCAGTAGTGCCGGGGAGGTGGCCAGGGACCCAGATTAAAGCCAGAGAAACCGGCCCTGACCAGCACAGAATCTGTCATTTCTCCCTCCTCTCCTGGAAGTGTCCACTCCCCCCATATGAAGAAGAGAACATTTTAAAAATGTTTTTATTTAATTAAAAAAAAAAGACAAAACTAACAACCCAAAACCAGTAGTAGGTACAGGATTCACAGGTGCTTAACTGGCGGAACACACGGGGGCTGGTCGGAGGGGGTGGTAGGATGGGAGGAGGCGGAAGAGGTGGCCCAGGCCACCGCGTCTCCCGTGGCGCAAGGGCGCAGAGTGGTGGGTGGGAGGGTGCCAGCTCTGCCCCTTTCCTGGGAAAGCTTGGCTGAGATGCGGGGAGGAGCAGCAGCCACCCTGAGGCCAGGACCCCGAGCCTGGGGCAGCGGCGGAGAGAAAAGCCGTGAAGACTAGGGGCTCCGGCTGAGGTTGCTGTGCCCCCTGCTCTTCTGTCCCTCTGTCACCTCTTCCTACTTGTCTTGGTCCCTAGAGTGGGCCCCACATTCTCTGCCTGGGACTGGGCAAGAGGTATGATTCATGGGAACACGGCTTTCTCCAGGGGGTGATGGGAACTTCTGGGGCAGCGGGTGGGGAGGTGGCTTATGTGGAAGAAATGCCAAGGCCACCTCGCTCTTGGAAGTGACAGAAGGGTCCTGGGCCTTGTGGGTGGTGGGCCCCCCTTCCTTCCAGCCCAGGAAGATGGTGTCACGGTAGGGAGAGGGTGGGGGCTCGGGGTGGGGGCAGGACGCACGGGGGCCCACAGCAGGGGCAGGCCACGAGCCTTGCCATTCCAGCATTCGCTGCTGCACATGCTCGGACAGGCCGCCACACAAAGCCAACCTCAGCAGGAGGAAAGGGTTTCGAGCAAGCACGATGGGGCCCCAGCCCGCCGCCCTTCAGTCACCAGTCAGCAGGAGGCGGGACGTGTGGAGATTTCCCCTCTGGGGGCGGAGGGGGATGGGGAGGACCGAGACTCGGACCTAACTCCCAGGGGCCCAGTCCGCCCAGGGGTCCGTGAGCAGGTGGCTGAGGTAAGAATTTGCTTGTCACATCCAAGTATGACGGCTACTGGGATCACAGACAACGGCTCCGGATTGGATTCCGAAATCTCAAAAAGTAAGAAAGGACTTGTCTTTAGAAAGCATGTGTTTTATATAAAAGAGGGCAAGCTCCATGTTCCAGAAAGGTTTTCTTCTGAACCCGGACATGCTTCCACGTTCTCTGCTTTGGAGGAGGGGAGAATGGTTGGACAAATGTCAGACCCGGCACCACCTCCGTAGTCCCCAGTGCTGAGACGTCCCTCAAGTGAGAAGGAGGGAAAGCACAGCGTGGCCCTTCCACCCAGACTTCCCCTGCCGAGCCCTTCCAGGGGCTGGCAGAATAAATTACAATAGCAGATTGGGGGAGATGGTGCTGGGACTTTTTGAAGTGAGGAAATGAATGTAATTTTCTCTCCTGGCATTTATTTGCAATAAATCGTGATTAATAACCACCTTGGAAATGGATGTTTGTTCTGATTTTTTGGTCGTCATTCACCCTCGGGCCTCCCTTTCTTGTACAGAAGTTCAGGCTCCTGCTGCCAAACACCAGTGGGGGCTGGGGTCTGCCCCCCGCCCCTGGGAGGGAGAGAGCTGCTCCTCAGGCCAGTTGGGAGGACACAGCAAGAGGCCACATGGTCAACTTCCCAGTGACCTGCGGAGTCTTCCCAGCTCTCATGTACAGCCAGTGTTTCTGCCTTTTCTGTGTGAGGCAGAAACTTCCAGAAGTAGATAAGCCAACCAGCAATAGACTCTGGCCTTCCCCTAACACGCAGGCCAGCAAAGGCCTTCGCGTCTGCAGATTCCTCCACAGGCCCCGGTCTTCGCAGGCTGAAGGAAGCCGGTCCCAGGACAGCACAAAGGCCAAAGCACCAGCTGGCTGCAGGGCTTTCTCCTCAGGACCACACGTATGTCAGTAACAGGCCACGGCCAGAGAGAGAGAGACAGAGGGGAAGGGGGCCGGCTTTGGCTTCCTCTTCTCCAGCTCACAGACGTGGGAACTTCAGGTTTAAAAGAAGCTCACCAGTGTCCAGAGGTCCCCGTGTCCCCACAAAAGCCCTCCAGGTGGCCCAGTACCCAGGCGAGGGAAGACCCTGAAAGCCCATTCTTCTGGCTAGATTTGTTTCCAAGAGGAGATAATGGCTCAAATCCATTTTCCTGGGTCAGTCAAGGCTGTACAGTCTCAGGAGAGCTCACTTGGGCCTCCTGGGAGATTCTGGAACCCTGGGGCATCAAAACAACCTGTTTTGGGGATAAAGTCAGCCTTCTGCTTCTGCTTCCACCACCCATTTGCCACCTCCCGGTGATTCACTCCAAGCCAGCCTGAGACACATTCTGGAGACCAGGGAGAGTTGGGTGTGGCCTCTGTCCATTGTTGGTCTGTCTTAGGGTCAGATACCCTCCCGTGAGACCCAAACAGCTGTTCTGGGGAGAGGCTGGTGCTGAGAGAAGGGGGCGGCTCAGACAGGGGTCGTCCGTCGGTTCAGCATGCTGACGTGCAAGCCTTCCTTCAGGTCCGGCTGGAAGAAGTCGTGCACCTGCAGGAAGCTGGCCTCCTGGTCGGGGCTGTAGCTAGCGGCAGTGGTCACCTTGAGGGGCTCCCTGGACAGCGTGTACATGGACAGCTCGCCCATGGGGATGGCCCCGGTGATTTTCAGGCCCACCGGAGACACAGCCCTGGAGGGCGAGGGCTCGGTGGACCTCGAGCTGGACCTCGAGCGCCGTCGCCGGTACCTGTAGCTTGGCATCCTGGCATAGGGAGACGAGGAGGGAGCCTTAAGGAACTCCCGTTTGGTCTTGAATCTCAACTCCTTATTTTTCTCAATGTAAATGTTTACAGCCAGGACGCCCACGGTCTCAGCCACAATGAAGGACAGGGCCCCAAAGTAAAAAGACCAGCCGTAGCTGTAATGGTTCTTTTTGTCTTCATCACGTTTGTTGCTTGGGTCGCCTGTGTTGCTGGAGATGTAGACGATGATGCCTATGATGTTACTGAGGCCTGAAAGGGAAGCAGAAGAGGGGGTGGGAGGGCGAGGCAGAGTGCACCCCACAGGTGCCCAGAGGGCAGGTGGGCAGAGGAGGAGCTGGTGGCCACTCCCTGAATTGATGGGTATTGCTTTATCCTGGTTGCTCACTTTTAAGTAATTTTTGAATGGGTAATAAAGTACAAAATTCTGATGAGGTAGAGGAGAAAACACAGGCTCTAAGTTGGCCAGCTCCTTGCCTGAAGGCAGCTACTGGTACCTTCTTTTTTGTACCTTTCTTATATCCAGTCTCCCTTCCTCCTTCCCTCTCTTATTCGTGCTGTCCCCCACACACATGCGCACACACAATATCTATTTTCCTCTTCACACAGTATTCTTGGGCCTCTCGCCTTTTCACTTGAGTCCATGGGCTCCCTATCAGGACATGAAGAGCTGTCTCTGTCTTCCTAACTGCACGTGACACCCACTGCATAGACATCTCGCCTGGGCTCTGCTGTGGATTTTCAGGAGGCTTCCAGCCCTCTCCTTGTGTCCACACCGTTCCACACACGCATGAGTACAACGGTGGGATGAATTCCTTAAAGTAAAGCTGCTGCCTCACTGGGTATGTGCATTTAAAAACTTAAAAACATAAACTTTTGTTTTGGGATAATGTTAGTTTATTGAAAAGGTGTGAAGATAGTATGGAGAAGTCCTTTCTAACTCCCCACCTGGTTTCCCTTATTAACACCTTACATCCTCATGTACATTCGTCACAACCAGGAAACCCACCTGCTGTATCACTATTCTCTGTGCTCCAGACTTTACTTGGATTTCCGTGGGGTTTCCCCTAATTCCTTTTTCTGTTTCAGGATCCGTATAGGAGACCACGTTGCATTTGGTGTTTTGAATTCAGTCACCACCCCAAAGCCCTCCATAGGGGCACAAAATGTCTCGACAGCCAATAATACATATTATCAAACTTGTGGATCTTTGCCAATCTGGGAGGTGAAACATAGTCACCCGTTGTTTTGTCTCTTAAACCTCCTAAGTGAGGTCGAGGAAAATCAAGCTGCCTTGGCTGACTCTTGGCTCTGCCGATGGCCTCCACTGGCCTGTGGACACGCACAGACCACTAACCAGGGCACGCACAGAACCGACCTCACCCGTGTTTGGGTAGGTCATGCCCTTTGCCTCAGTATCCTCATATGCCAAATGGAATCCAGTGGTACACACCTCACAGGGTAGATGTGAGGATTAAATAAGCCAATATCTACAGTGTGCTTACAATAGCATGCTTGAAATTCTATTATAATCTACTGTGTTTTATTGTAAAGCAATGTTGTGGGTAAAATTGTAACATTTCCAGAATATCTCGCCTGGCTTTGGTGCATTTGCACATCCTCAGGGGTGGAGAGTAGTTCATCTCCATGTCAGTGGGTAATTACCTGGGCAACCGAGAGCATGTCTGAACCTGAGAGGTGAAGGGGAGGGGCTGGCTTGCTTGCTTCCTTGGAGCAGGAGAGAGAGACGGCACTGGACTGCAGTTTGTAAGCAATAAACGGGTTTAAAATTTTATTTCTCCCTTTGACTGATTTCAGTTTTTAGCGGTATTTTGCCCTGGAATTTCCTCTCCCTGGACTTATGGATGTGTTGTACTGTCTAGGCACTGCCCATGGCCTTGGCCCATGTGCTTACTGCTCCGATCCCAGTGTGGGTGGGTTAGAATATTTCCTGGTAAGGGGACTAAAGGTCCTCCCCCAAGGAAACCAGTTGGAGGTTTGACTTCTCGCCCCTTCTGCTGTGTTCCAGCAGAACCTTCACAGACAATGGCTTTTACTTGAATGGCTTGCTTCCTGTCTCCCCTCCTGTCTCTTTCACCCCTTTTCTCCCTGTCTCCCTAGCTTTGGACTTCCTGCCCCACCCTGTATTCAACATAAGCCCTAAGAATGCTCTTTAAACCACAACCCAGAGAAGTTACTGCATCTTCTTCCAACTCTCCCAGCCTTGGCACTGAACATTCCCAAGGCTCTGACCACTTCCTACCTAGAATTTTTTAGGGGCCTGTCTCACATCACTGCTGGGGCTGGGGCGGCCTGGAGCTGGGCCCTACATGTGCCGTCTGGCCTGCCACTGCCTCAACTATGATCAAAGTTCCATAAACCAGGGAACAAACGGGAATAAGCGGCTTCCCCTTGCCTGCCTGCCGTGCCTGCCCACAGCTGCTGCCTTGTCCTGTCCTCTCTGGCAGGACTCATGTTTTTAGCTGAGCACCTCTGGGCTCCTCCGGTAACCTGGAGCATTGGATACGCCTTTGGGATGTTCCTCCTGGGGGAAAGGGCAGCTGCAGGGGGCATCTCTCTTTGGAGGCTGACAACCCTGCCACCTGACTGCCTCCTCTGGAGCTGGGGTGAGGCAGTCATGCTCGCAGATCATCTGGCAACATGGGGGCTGGTGTTAGTGTGATCTTCTTTCCCTTCCTTGGGACAGGAAAGGGAACAGTATCTCAATGTCACAGCAGGGACTTCCTTAATGGTTCACACCTTGAGAAATCTGACTGCTTAAAGGAGAATGGGCTGTCTCCCTGCCCTTCCTCTCCCGCCCGTGTTCTAGGCTAAGGTGAAGGGAAGGGATAAGAAGGGCAAGAAGGGAAGGAGCAGGGACATGGCAGGAGCCAGTCTGGTGTAGGAAAAAAGATACTTGGAAAGCGAAAAAGATACTTGTTAGGATGGTGTAAGGAGCGATGACAACAATTTAGGAAAGAATTGCTGAGCGTTGTAACATTTCTCACATTTATTTACTGGAGCGGGGCCTGAGAAGTCAGGCAGCTCCTGCTTCTCCTGCTAGAGGCCCCGTTGCACCTTTCTCTGAACTCCACGGCGCTGCCTGGAGCCTTGAGGATGCCCCTGGCTGAGTCTGCCCTGGCAGGCACTCCCTCCGCTCCCCCCCAGCACCTCAGGCTGGAAAAGCTGGCTTCTGCACTGGCCTGTGGACGTGCACAGACCACTAACCAGCTGGGAGGCCCACATCTGGCCTGAATGTGTTTGGCGCCTGCAGAGGCAGGGCACCACAGCACCATCCTCACTGAGGCTTGGGAGCGATCACTGTAAGCCCTCTGGGGCCCACTAGGCAGGGGCCTGCTGCTGTCACCCACTGCTCCTGGGTTCCCACTGGGCTGCAGTTGGGGTGGCTCTAAGGTTCTGCTGCCTGTCTCTCAGCCAGAGAGCTGGGCAGTCACGATGGGCCGGAGGATCTGACTTGCTCTCTGGAGCCACCCTAGCACACGGGGCTTCTCTGCCTCTTTGGCACCCTTGCCAGCCCTGTGCCCCCACCCTGTCTTTACCTGCTGCACCCCTTCAGGTCTGGGCTTCTGTGAGTCCCTCTGGGTGCCACCCCAGGCCCCCCGACTCACCCAGGCTCCCCTGTGGAAGGCTTGTAGGGCTCCAGTGCTGCCCCTTTGTGGCACCTGGCACATTTGGACTTACTATTACTTTTACGTAGGTGAAATTCACATAACACATCAAACAAACACTTTGAAGTGAACAATTCAGCATCATTTAGTGCTTGCTACCACCACTTCTATCTAGGGCCAGAGCCTTTGTGTCATTGAGAAAGGACCCATTCAGCATTTGCTCCCCAGTCCCCGCCCCAGCCCACACCCCTGGACTTCTGAAGTTAATTATGCAGTCTGCCCGCCTCCCCCTGTGCGCAGGGCCCAGCTCGGCGGCTCACCTGCAGCCACAAAGAGGATGCCGGCACTGAGGACGATGTTGTTCTTGCGGCTGTAGAACCTCCCGGCGCCGATGCAGAGCCCTCCAAGCAGGAGCAGGATGGTGCTGAGGATGGGGAAGACGCTGGAGGCACGCACGATGCCTGGGCCGGGTGGGAGACAGAGCCGGGAGGCCGTGAGACCGGCCTCCCTCCTGTGGCGGCCGGGAGTGCTGTCCCGGGGCCCCAACGCCCAAGGCCCTTCCCCTGACTTTGAAGGTTCCCATTAGGCTCTGGAGACCTGAGGTGGGTTGGGAGCTGGGGTGGGGTGGGGCCAGAAGCACGTGAGGGCCCAGGCCTGCTGGTCAGTCCCCCACTGCACGCCGAGGGGGCTCAAGTCGCGTCTGCCCAGGTCTTGCGTAGGCTCTCCTGGTTGTGGGTCACACTTCTGCCAGGCGGAAGGGAGGAGAGCCCCCCAGTGGCATCAGGGAGGCTGGAATAACAGCCTTGGCAACGCTGAACTGCCTCCCATTCAGACGACACCTCTCAGCCCACAGACCCTTTCATGGACACCACGTCCAAGGAGCCTCTGGAAGACTGGGGAATGGCGTCCGATGGAGGCAGCTCCCATGGGTGGTCGAGGACACAGGCTTTGGCGTCAGGTGGGAGTGGGTGCGAGGCCTGCTCTGGGACATGCTGGTGGTGTGGCCTTGGTCAGGCCGTGTCACATCTCTGAAACGGAGTTTTCCCATTTGTGGGACACAGTTCATCATAGAACCTACGTCCTAGGGTTGGTTTTTATGTATAAGGGGCTCAGCACAGGGCCAGGCCGTAGCGCATGCTTCTTAGCGATGGCCTTTATCTACATCATCATCATCATTTATCACCCCCAGGTGACAGATGAGGACATGGAAGCTCAGGAGCTCTTGAGGCCCCAGAGGAGGAGGTGGCTGAACAGGGAGACAAGCGTGGCCTGTGGTGTCCAGCAGAGAGAGATTTGTGCCCTTGCTTTGCCACTGACTAGTAGGGTGACCAGGGCAGCTAAAGTCTGACCACCCCAGTCCCCTCTTTTATAACCTGGGGACAGAAGTGATGTCTGCCTGTAGGGAACTGACTTATGGCTCCTGCCAAACATTATGTCCAAGTCCTAACCACGGGCACCTATGAATGTGACCTTATTTGGAAAAAAGGTCATTGAGTTAAGGATGTGATTGAGTTAAGGGTCTCTGGGTGACGCCACCTTAGATGAGGGTGACCCTACATCCAATGACAAGTGCCCTTGTTAAAGGGAAAGACACAGGCAGAAGTGGCGATGTGCAGGGGGGAAGCCGTGTGAAGACAAGCAGAAAGGAGGGAGGCAGCCTTAAGTCAGGGAGTGCTGGGAACCACCAGAAGCTACAAGAAGCCAAAAAGACAATCCCTTTAGGGCTTTAAAGGCAGCTCAGCCCTGCCAACATCTTCCTGAAGACATCTGGCCTCCATACTGAGAGAAGTACATTTCTGTTTTAAGCTACCCAGTTTGTAGTGATTTGTTACGGTCGCCCTAGGAAAAGCGTACACTACCTGCGTGAGTTGTGAGAATGTGCTGGAATAAGGTACGTGAAGCACTTAGCAGGCTTCGGGTATGAGGGCCCCATCCTTAGCCTCTGGCTAGGAGGAGGGGCAGGAGGAAGGGACGGGGTGAGGCGGAGCTGCGAGCTGGGCTTCCTGGTGCGCCTGCAGGTCTATTTCCCCGGCCCCATAGAAATTCTGCTATGTGGACTTGTAGTGGCCCCGGCAGGGGACAGTGAGTCAGGGAGTGTTGGCAGGGGGGACCCTCCCGAGCCAGCTGAGCCGGTTTGCCACCTTTCAGCCTCTGAAGGCAGCGTTTGTCTCTTTTTTATAAGCCCACCAGTGTGTGCCTGCGCTTCACAGAGAGGGGTCTGTTTGGGGCATTAAATGAAGCTCTTCTGTCCAGCACCTTCCCCTCCTCCTTCTGTCTGGTTGCAGCCACAGGCTCTGGGAGGTTTCCCGTGGGCTTCCGAAATGGGGTTTGAGCTGGGCCAGCCAGCAAAGCCGGGAGTCAGGCCCCCTCGATGCCCGGGGACTAAAGACAGGGCAGGGGGGCAGGAGAGAAGGGAGCCCGGTACCTCTAAGGTCACTGACGTTGGGCCCGGCTCAGAGCCGTCTGTCCTGCCCAGCTAAGTCATGTGAGCTCCTGTCCTTTGCCACATGGGCTCATTCTGGAGCTCTGGATATGCAGGTGCCAGCCAGGGGCACTGTGGACAGAGGTGCAGGCTGAGTCTTGCACAGAACTGAGGGCTGGGCAGGGCTGATGTCCAGCCCCGCCACATGGCCAAATCAAGCCCTGGCAAGGATCTGTGTCTGCCCAGAGGATGGGCACCTCCTTCTAACTCGCCCTCAGGCACACTGAGAACTCCCAGCAGCCCTGACAACAGCTCTCTGAGGCTTAGCATGGAAATCATACACCTAACTGGAAATTAGATGGACAGGACCACTCCCCACCCCCAACCCAGCCCAGGCCAGCAAGGCTGGTGGAAGAGAAATGGCAGGTGGGATGTGGGGTGGTGACCCACTCAAACCCCATAAACCACAGAGGTATTGCAGAGCTTGGAGACCATCAAGAAGCCCTGTGACAGTGACATAACTCATCGAGAGCCCGATTTCTCTGGGAGGCTTCAGAATGCATGGCTGGGGTGATGACTTTGTTCCTGAATTGTTGAAGACAGGGTATAAGAAGCATAGCCTTGGACCGGCTGGGCTGCCACCCCTATAGGCCTTGCCATCGGCAGCCACTGTGGAACTTTCTGTGACCTTCTTCAGTATACCCGCTGTCCACTGGAATGTCAGCACCACGAGGGCAGAGCTGTTTTGTTTACTGCTATATCCCACGTGCCTGATACAGTGCCTGGCACATCGTAGGCCCACGGAAACTTCGTGTTAAGTGAGTGAATAAGTGACATCTCATGAATGCTTGTCTCCTGCAGCATCAGTCCCCAGAGCTCTCTCTCCTGTGCTTCTACATGTTTTTGGGAGCAACAGTCCACACAGACACCAGAGGACTGAATACCAGGAATCAGGGTACTGCGGGGGCCTCCCAGCGCTCACGCCTCCCCCAGGACACTGCTGGGGTTGGGGGTTCAGGACAGCTGGAGCCTGAAGCTGGATGTGTGCAGGCGCAGCACGTTCCTGGTTTGCCCCTCCAGAGCCTCGTTCTACCTCCCTGTATCCCACTCTGGGGCCCGGAGGCTGACGCTGCGGACTGAATCAGCCAGCTTCCTTGACCCTGACTTTGGTGCAGGTGAGTTATTTCCCTGGCTTCCTTCTTCAGGCTGCAAATTCTAGGGCAGCTGCATTTCTTCATAAAGGCCACAGCTCCTGCCTGGCAGCCCTGTTCTTGCTGTTGTCCCCTTCCAGGTTCCTCTGCCTGCCTCCTTCACTTGTTCAGGCCCAGGGGGATAAGGGCTCCTTGGGTGGCTAGCCTGGGGTGCTCACCATCCCTTGCAAGTTTCCCTTAAAGTGCCTGCAGCTTTGTAAATAGTCCTTCCTTAGTGGCCTTCATTTACTCTGTTTAAGTGACTATCTGCTTCCTGCTGGAACCTCAGGAAGCCACATGGTCTGACCTCTGGGCTGATGGGTTTGAGGCCAATTCAGAAAGAGATCCCAGAGCTCTGGGGACCATTGAGGGCACAGGGACAAGGGGTAAAGAGGGAGACCCAGTGCCATTGCCCATAATCCCCGGCAAGTTCAAGTGAGAAATGGAGAGGGAATGATTTATTTCTCCACTGCTTCCTTCAACACAGTCCCAGGGCTGGTCAGTGGGGCGAATTGGCCTCAGAGCCTTAAGAACCCCCTGATTGCCCTGGGAGGAGCGGAGAAGGGCAGGTTTTGAGTCAGAGTCGATGTTTCAGTTGAGCCATCCCAGCTGCGCTGAGCACCAGGGACTACTCTAGACGGCTGTGCAGGCCACGGACTGCGCAACTTGAAGGATGTCATTTATACCGTAGCACCCCTCAAATTGTGCCATGTGCAACCAGCACAACCATTTCTGGTGCACCTATGAAATATCATTTGCTTGCTTCAGTGTTGGCCCCAGAAAGTAGAAAGAGGACAGGTAAGAGGAAGAGGAGAAGGTGAGGGAGCAAGGATGGGAGACAGATCTGGCCGGACCCTTTCAGGTTTGGGCCTGGCCAGAGCAGCCTGACACTGCTCCAGGTTCCTTGGGAACCACATGCTGTTCTATTTCACTAGATGACTCAGAACCCACATCCTTTCTCCTGGAAAAAATGATCCATGAGCAGGTGCAGAGTGAACTGTGCTCCCTCTGAGGATGCTGGTATCGATTCTCCATAAATGAAGCCCAACCGGAGCCCCCAGGGCTGCTGCTGTAAGCTGCTCTGCATGGGTCTTGGCTAATGTGAGAGCGGAAGACGACTTAGAAATGGTGCTGTTTTTCCATTTCCAGCCTCCTTGCCTGGCTGAGGCTCCAGCCTTCCTCCCGGGGAGGTATTTGCAGGCCCAGGCATGAGATGTGGCTTTAGGGTATGGGGCTGGGTTTGCCCTTCAGGGTTCAGCGTATGCTGAGCCCTCAGCGTATGCTGTGCCTTCTGGGCTCTAGTCCAGTGGTGGGCGACAGCCCAGCGTGGGGCCCCGGGGTGGGTAGGGGCTCGCAGGGCAACTAGAGGGCAGCGGTGGTGCTGCTGCAGACACTGAAGGCCCTCGTGTCCAAGGCTGCTCCTGCCACCTTCCTCACCTTCTCCCACGGCGGCTTGGACCCCACCAGGCTGTCTTAGTGTGTGACTTCATCGGATTTTTTACGAATAGAATGCTGGGTGCCGAGGAGGGGTGGGGTGAGCAGGTCCAGTGCCAGCAGGACAGTGTCTTATGGGTGTCACAGTCCCCCCAGGGATGCTCTGCTTGGGAAAACCTATGTCTTTAACCTATTTGTCCCCAGCCCAGCTGTGCCAGTCAGCAGCCCAGGCTGCAGGCATGCCCAGCAGGGCTGGGGAGTGGGGACGCCCACCCCCTCACTGTCCCCTCATGTGGGGGCCTATCACCCAAGGAGCTCCCCTGGGATACCCAGCATTCGTGGCAGTGTTAACAAAGTCCCGTCCTCTGAACCAGCAGGCTGAATCAGGAAGGGAGTGACAAGAGCCCTCAGAGAAGAGCCCCCCTGCACCCCCGCGGCCCGTCCTCCCCCAGCCACCCACCCTGCCACCCACAGCCCCTCTCAGCACAGAGGAAGCAAAGGAGCCTTGACACTCACGGAGGAGATACTCCGAGCTGTCGTGGTCGTAATCATTGTCCTCTGGGAAGTGATTGATCCGGAAGCAGTGCCCTTTATAGATCCCTGGAGGGAACAAGGGGAAAAGAACATTGTGGATGTTCCATGGGTCCATGAGTCCATTCATCCCAGACTTGTTTACTGTGTGTGAGCCAGACTGTGGGCCCTGGGCACAGAGAGAAGAAAGGCCGTCCCAGGCGTCGCGGTCTGGTGGGGGCGGGCACACTCACAGAGGACTGCACAGTGGGAAAGGGCCCCACAGCGAGCACACTGGCGAAAGGAACGGCACTAAACACTGTGCAGGGCCAGGAGCCATCAAGCAGAAGCCCCCTGGGCAGCCAGGATATGCCAGCCCCCTACCCGCGGGGAATGTTCCAGGCAGAGAGGAGAAAGTGTGAGAAGGCGGGGCGGGGGTGGGGGCCTGGTGTATTAGGGGTGTGGTGGGAAGTTCAGTGCAGCCAGACTTAGAAGGGCCTGTGCAAGGGGGAGCTTGGGGGCCACGGGAGGGTAGGGGGGCAGTGAGCCAGCAGTAAGCCTGCCCCGTGGTGTCTGTCTGTCTGTCTGTATCTTCTCTCTCAAGCACACAGTTATGATGAATCTCTCCTAAGGGACATGCCACCTCTGAGCACAGTTGGCAACATGATTCCAAACCCCTCAGTGCGATGGAAGGAAGAGAACATGGAGCAAGAGACACTTCCGGAGAGGCCAGGACCATCTCCTCCCTGGGTTCCCCCCTGACTCTGAGAAGCAGCCTTCGCAGGGTGGGGGGCAGGACACCCTGGGTAGTTNTCCAAATCCCTCAGTGCGATGGAAGGAAGAGAACATGGAGCAAGAGACACTTCCGGAGAGGCCAGGACCATCTCCTCCCTGGGTTCCCCCCTGACTCTGAGAAGCAGCCTTCGCAGGGTGGGGGGCAGGACACCCTGGGTAGTTTAGAGACAACAGGAGGGAAGGCCAGGCCCTCCCCTTCCAGAATCCTCTCTCCAGCTCTCCCAGCCCCTGTGCCCTGAAGTTTGGGAATGCCAGCACAGACTGGGACACAGGTGGAGAGGGGTGCACAGGGGCCCAGGCCTGCCCTGCCGGCACGCTCACGCCCGAGGCAGCCCCCCAGCTTCATCAGGGAGTTCATCCTGACACCCCTGTGTGGCCCAGGGTGGGGCTCTTTCCAACTGGGGCCATTTCTAGTTCTGTAGCTGCTGCCAAGTGTCCTGCTGGCCTCCCAGAGCCCAGCCGGACCTCCAGGTCGGAAGCACAATGTTGGAAACAAGGCCTGCACCAGACCAGCGTCTGTCTCCTTGGTACTTCCAATTGGGAGAGCCTCTGATGAGCTTGGGGCACGCTGCTCTTCCACCTGCTTGCCAGTTAGCTGGCTGACCAGCTACCTTCCCAAGCTCTTCCCTCAGGCGGGTTCCATAGCTGCCGCCTCCAAAGAACTGCAGTGCTTGGTAAGGACCTGTGCTTTCTGAAGACCCCCCTGGCCTCGAGGGCAGTAAGTGGGTGGGCTGGGCTTGGTTAAAATGGTGGGAGACAGACTGAGGGTCCCAGAGGTGAAGACTTGGGTGGGACGCGCTGTGATAGGGCTCTCTGTGTCGGCGCAAATGACTTAGGCACCTCCCTCGGTTTCCTCATCTGCAGAATGGGGATAACACAGGCTTTTCATCACCTAGCGATCCTAGGAGAATCCTGTGAGTCAATACTTGGAAGGCATTTAGATGATTCTTAGCCCAAGGCCAAGAACCTCGCCCAGCCCAGGGGAGGGCTGCTGCTGCTGGGCCCAGAAGTGACCGGCCCTGTCCTCAGCAGGTCCTTACTCTAGTGACTGGCTGAGTGGGTGGAGAACCACAGTGCTTGTGAGCAGGAGGAAGGAGCCCCAGGGCAGAGTGGTGTCAGGATGCGGAGGGGGAGCCAGTTTCTTTTCTCTTGTAATAAGCTTTAGTGATTCATTTTCAGACATTTCAGAAAATACAGAAAAAAAATGTAGAGGAGAAAATCTTAATTCACTCATAACCCTATCACCCAGAAATAAAAAGCTGGATACATTTTAGGATATTTTTTCCAGATGTTAACTATGCCTATAGAAATGTCTCTAACAAAAGTGGTTCATGATGTACATAGATGAATAGATCTGTGAACATATGCACAGGCCCCGATACCTTTTCTCCACAAACAGTCAGAGAATCTTAACAGGAGAGGCTCCCTCTGGCCCAATTCCCGAGTTTTATAGATGGAGAAAATGGCTCACCTGGGGCCACATGACTAATGAAGTCTCTTCACACCAGTGGTTTTCAGACCCTTAGGAAGGAGAGAGCCGTCATGTCTCTGGGAGCACAGGCCACTGACCCCAAAAGCACCTCAGTATTCCTACAATGTGGCCAGTCCAGGATCTCAAAATTAACAGCCCTAAATACCACATAATAGAGAACACGGCAAATGGCCCATTCACCAAGTGAGAACACGTGTGAAGTGGATTGGAAATGGCTCTCTCTCTTCTCACATCAGCCATTAATTTTCTCCTTTTAAATGCCTTAGGCCAGTGCTAACAGAATTAAATTTGACAGGGATAAATGTGAAGTCCTTAAGACCAAACACTGCACTTGACAAAAACAGGCTGGGGGAGGCAAGGCAGCTCTTGTGAAAAAATCCTGGGAAACTGAGTTGGCACCAGGTCCCATTAACAGAAGCACAGGGTCCAGAGAAGAGGAGGGGGCAGCAGCTGGAATGCTGGGTTCGGTGGTGGGTGCTGTGCTTCTGGGCACAGTGTTGGGAGCTGACCTGGAAGAGGGAGCAAAACTGGTCCTGGAACCATCAATAAAGAACTGGCTGAAGGAACTGGAGGTGTTTGACCTCCAGAGGACATCAATTCTGAGGAAGTACCCACATTCCTGACTCTGGGGACAGGGGGCAAGCACCACTCTCCTCCACAGCCCACTTCCCTGGACTGGGGATGGGGGTGAGGCGGATGGGAATGGGGTCAGGCTTTCTGCCTCTTCATAAGGTCTGTCCGGGGAGAGGCCTGGTCCCAACAGTTGGCAGCTTGTCAGCCACCTCTTGTCCTCAGCTTAGGGCCTCACCCACAGACCCTGGGTAGCTGGAAAAGCAGCGTGTGCTCCCCTCCTGTTGGACACCATTCCTCCTACAGCGATTTGAAGGGTTGACACATGACAGAGAGGTTCTTTTATTCCAGAGATTATAAGTAGCAGCCATGGCTGGTGTTTGGGGGAGGCAGGAGATCTTTCAGGAAGTTAAAAGTTACAGCTGTCTGAAAATGGAATGCCTTCGGAGGGGGTCAGGCCCTCTCCACTGGCAGCCACCAGATAAGAGAGGCCGGGTTGAGGACTGGGGCCCCAGATGGGGTCATGCACTGGAGGGCTGGTGAAGGTGCTTTGCAGGCCTACACCTGGGAGGCTGTGTGTTTCACAGCAGCACACTCAGCAAGAAGCACTTTTGTAAATGTAAATGTGGCTAAGAGCCTCTTGCACAAAGCCTAGCAGGACTGTGAGCCAGGCAGTTTCACCTTCCTGCATGTAAATGGGGAAGGGATGGGGGCAAGGCTGGAACCAGGGATGAGTGGATGAGGCTCACACAGCGAGGCACCTGTATAGTTTCCCGGGGCGTAGTAACAAGTTATCACAAACCAACTTGGCTTAGAAAACTGAGATTCACAGTTCTGGAGGCCAGAAGTCCGGAATCAGGGTGTCTGCGGGCCGCACTCCCTCTGAGACCCTGGGTACCACCCTTCCTTACCTCCTCCCAGCCAGCAATCCCCGACTTTCCGCGGTTTGTGGACACAGCACTCTGCTCTCTGCCTCTGTCAACACACCCCCTTCTGTGTGTGTGTCTATGCCCGAATTTCCCTCTTGTTATAAGGACAACAGTCATTGCATTCAGGCCCACCCTGATTCCGCATGACCTCATCTTGACTTGATCACCTCTTCAAGACCCTATTTCCAAACAAGGTCACATTCACAAGGACTTGGGGGTTAGGACTTCACCATATCCTTTGAGGGACACAATTCAACCCATGACAACACCCATTCCTTCAGTCTGTGCAGACAAGCTCAGCATAGGAGGAAGGATAAAGGAAAGGAAAGGGGTCAATTACTGGATAAGTCAAGGTATCTTTGAGCATCATCCCACACGGTGGGATCCATAGTGTGTACACACAGCCCCAAGAAAGAGAAACACCTGTTTCTATGATACAGTGAATTGACAAACCGTAACTCTGGATGGATATGCAGCCACTAAGAAAATATGTGTTAAAAAAGGAGTTAATATGTCGGACAGTGTGGTTCCTATTTGTAATTTCTATCAAACATAAAATACCACCCTAAATACAGAGTGGAAGTTAGCAAAATATACTGGAGGGGCATTTGGAGCAAATGTGTCTACATGCAAGCTGGTGCTTCAAAATGAGTTTTGTTTTCAGATTGAATACATAAATATATGGTTTCCTCATTTCTGCCAAAGTGTAGTTTCCTTTTCACAGTACCAGCGTGGGAGCAAGCCTTACTTCCCTAGGCCCGGAGCCCGTTCCTTCTAGGGCTGTGAGCAACTTTTACATTAGTCTCAACTTAATACTTTTTATTTAAAATGAATAAAAGTTTTTTAAAAAATTGTACGTATTAACATAGAGAGATGTTTGTATATGTTGCTAAGTGAAAAAAGCAGGTTAGTGAAATGTGGTGGTGCCTCTGAAATGACCACAGGCCCACTCAGGTCAGAGAGCTGGTGATCGGGCTGTGAACTGTGGTGGTGGGATGGTCTGTGGGTGGCATTTTTGCCCCTCCTGGGTGAATCTCCCCATTGCTCTCCCTGTGGGCTGTGCCCGGGGGTTACACACCCCTATATGCAGCCAGGGTGACCAACCCCAGGATGCGGGATTTTCAGTGCTAAAGCCAGGAAAGTCCAGGCCAACCAGACAAGTTGGGCACTGTATGAGTCATTTCAGGGGTGCTGGCATCTGACGTCAGCCTCCATATGGGCCACCTCACAGGTCTGTTGTAATTAAGGGAATCCTGGAGCAAAGAATGTTAGAGAGTGACTTAGTAATTTGTGTAATCCTTTAT